ACAATTACATCATATGTAGCATCATGTGGGTTAAAGGTACTTGACAGGTTCAGGTAACTGCTGAGTCGTTTAATATAACAGAACAGTAACCAGATTTTGCCTGTCTGAGAATAGGGTTTCCGCCTGTCGCCCTGAAAGAGTGATCAGCTCCTGAATATCAATATAATGTTTGTAGTATCTGAGCATGATGACGGAATTGATGATCCATAAGAAGGTTCTTGAAACCAGCATCTGAAAGTCAACAGTAAGAATAAGTTATTGAAGCGTAGGAAAAAAGAGAGAAAAGCGTTGAGATGATACAAGTGGTCAATTATATACATAATAAGCAATACTTTCCTTCTAGCAATTGTTTGCAAAGTGGTATAAAAACTATGGATATGTTTGACAGTCTCCGAATTCCTATCCATACGGCGTTATTCGGAAATAGCATAATCAACGATTGCTGAAGTTGGCAACGAAAAGTTTTGTACAACTGCTCCATTGCAATTGCGAGTATCCTTTCCTTTGATAGCTACTTCGCACGTGTTAATACTGTTATTCAAAAAGGGATTGGGGTGCTGCCAGACTAGAATTGTCATGCCGTCTGCTCAGCCGCTGAAAATTTAGCCGTGCATCGTCTGATACACGTAATACTATGAACAGTTTCTACGGGACAATCACTAAGAGAAGCAAGATGATTAGTAAACATATCCATCATTGAATGACTAGTCTCCATCCAATAAAAAACATCCAAAAAAAAACATTAAAAGAGCACGTTCACTTCAGCAACGCACAGGCTTCTTCATAGGCCGACCAATCACCTCCTACTCGTAAACATCAAGAACTAAGGGTATTAAATTACTCAATAGATCAGTCATATATAAAAATTCGATATTCTTGCATGTATAACCAAACTTTAAGTAAACTATATCAACAATATCAGACCATGCCATACGTGTAATATGAAGAATTAAATCAATTCTCCATGGCTGTGGTTTCTTACCAAGAAATTTACGCATTCCGAAAATACCTTTATAAATGTCATTGAACAAAAACGAGTTTTTTCAAAAAAAAAATTTTTTTAATAAATTCCACGAGCATTTATGGCAGCCTATAATTGGTAAAAATGAGAAACATAGTACGGAATTGTTTTATTATTAATAAAAAACAGTTATGCCTTGCGAACATAAAGCTGACCAGGCCAGTCTGCAACAACTGGAATCACATATTCCGAAAGATAGGTTCGCATCAGCTGTCGATCGTGTACTATTCGGAGAGCGTTGGTATATCCATCGATGCCTTTCAAGGCACTTTCTGTAAAGTAAAAAGAATAGCATTCTCTATATTCTTTCCTTCGGATCCTATCATTATAACAATGTAACGTTAGTGCATCAATAAATTCCTCATCAGTACATTCTTTCACTATAATCCCGCATACGATTATGGTAGGAATACCGAGGTTTTGAATAATTGTTCATTAGGATGTTTCACTATCAACTATCTTCGGATTAATTGCTCCATCACGAGGGGTCTTGAACACGGATTCCATATGTGCTGCCCAAGATGTATTTGTAGTATCAGCCTGTCTCTGAACATGAATATTGTGGTAATCGTCAATATTTAACACTAAGGTTTTTTCCAAATGTAGTAAAAGACACTTACTTCTCTACTTCCCCTGTAAACATCTGACATTTTCTTTTCCCTCTGATCTACTGTAGTTGCGCCATAGTATTTATGCCTTTGTTGCTTGTACCTGCTGAATCTAAGTAATATAATATGCCAGGTCAAACTTAAAGCAGTTAATTTTTGTATTATTTAATGAAGCAAGGAGATAGCATATAAAAACCATCAATCTCTTCATACAATCCATAGTCTGCTCATTACATTCAAGCTGCTGAATAAGTTGGTCAAAAAAAGCCTTCAGGCCGGGTTTTTTTGTTTGTAGCAAACTTCGCATTTCGTCAAATTCATATATTGGACCTTCTTTTTCTTTATGTTCCCTTTCATAGAGATATCTACTCATTGCCCCAATAGCTTATTTAGTGAGCTCAATTCTTGTACTTACCTCTTCCACATTCATAACTTAACTCCTCTTCTTAAGGGATTCTCTATTAAATTCATGTAGCAGGCGTTGCATAAACTATACCTTCATCCCATGCTGCCTTGCAAAAGCTTTGAATTTGCTTAGTATTCTCAAGCACGTTTTATGGCAGGTTGAGCTGCGTAAGCCTTTTATAATAGTATAAAACTGATTATCAATGATTTGTGTTACAATTTCCTTATATGGGTACGTTCCTGCTGAAGAATTATACGTAGTTGCTGCAAGGAAATCCTTATTCAGATTGACATTAGCAATTGATAACCGTAACGAAGTATGGTTGACAGGAATATCACTCACGTCACTATATTCAAATAAATATCATTTTAGAAACAAGACATATTAATTACGCTGAAAGCTCTGGATCCATATCGACATCGTATAAAATTTCTACTTTGCATTATCGAAATTATAACATGCCATGCTCATTTTGTTATTTGGTTATCAAGTGTGTCAAACATATGAACACCTTCCTCCACACTACGGAATCCTCTAATTATATCACATATGGGCTTATGCTAATAAAAGCAACGTGCAATCAACTTCAGCACATATAATCCGCGCTTCAACACAACAACTTTAGATGAAAAACAGATTAATTTTAAAGAAGCCATTAACCAAAAACTCGATGCGAAAATTATTCGGAAATCGCTACACAAACAATGACACAGACAGAAGATGGTGAAATACGTGAGGAATCGCGATTTCTACATACCTTACTAGACTTTGTGGCAATGTTCAAGTATCTTTCGCCCGCCCAAAGTTCTAGTTGACAGGTGTAATGGAATTAACCATTGCAAATCGTCAATGGAGAAAATCATTTCATTTGCATCGAGATATAAGTTGAGACATTGTGATTATAATTAATAATAGGTAAATAGGAAGAAAAGTTTGAAAAAGTGGACAGTGCAATGCAGCAAGAACCTTTTTAAATTTTTGTTTTGTAGATTGACGCTAATAATAAATAATGTCCTATACAGGAAAGTATCGGAATTTTCCGAGAGGTATTAGACAACTTGGCCTTTTTAGCGAAATCAGACAATGGGGTATTGTACGTGTAGCATAGAGAGACGTGGCATAAATAAATACTGTATAAAGAAAAATGGCGAGTATGTCGTATGGATTTGAGGTATTAGAAAACTTAGCGAAATCGGACAATAGTATTGTGGTGATATAAAGCTTAAAAAAAAAAGTTCTTGCTTGCGATGTTACTGTCGTATTGGCACGTTAACATTCTTTGTTAATAGACTTATAGGATAAAGAACTTGAATACTACTATGTGATACGTCTATAAAATTGGGTTTTGTACAGAAATACTTCAAGCAAAAGTACAATATTGTATAGGTGCTTTGTTGTTTAGGATGTAGAATTTCCCGTAATTATTAGGCACAGTCATACCTCGTTCATATCCCCACTTGGGATACAAGTGAGGTAGCATAAACATTCACCTAAAACATCCAATTTTGTTATATATTCTACATCATTTTCTGTTGTAAAATCTCCTTGTTCTAAGAACTTTTTTAGACAATTTGTGTAATATTAGTATTGCTTATAGTATGATATTAATAGATTTGGGACAGCAAAATATTCAAAGGTCCGTCGCACTTCACAGGTGGGATATACTGTATCTGAGGTTGGGATATTAAAGGGTGGGGATAAAAAGAGGTATGACCGTACGAGGAAAGAAAATTGGTTGTGGCGGGAAGATGCTGTATACGCTAGTTGATTTTGTTGTTGTTTCGGTTGCGATCCGAGCGAGGTCGATGACTTATGTTTTTTTTTTGGTAACCATACTCTACGTATGTCTCTTGGTTACAGGTAAGAGGTTTATCGTAACTGAGACAACAAACAAACGACTTGGTTGACCAAAACAAACGTTACATTAGCAAAAACCACTTACTTACAAATTCAGCTAGGTGCTTTATTATTTTTACATATTTGATAGTTTGTTCTTTTGTTTCTATTTTGAGCTGATTTATATCTTTTATCAAGCTGTATTATGCAGTTACAGTATGTCTTAGTAACAATTATGGAATTCAGTTTAGTATATTGTCAAATTGTAAATGAGAAAAAAAAAGGAAAGGGTGGGAAAGTAACAAAATGTAACAATACAATCAATCTAGAGCACAAATGGGTAATTATTTAAACTCTGTCAATACGCCATGATAATCGATAAACATTTAAAGAATATATCGATTAGGTTAAGGTTAAATGAAATGGAACACAACAATTCACGAATTAACATTCTCGCGAATTTAAAAACTAGTGATACACGTCCGAACGAACCTCCATAAGTGCATTTGTAGAGGTTTGACTTACTGTACCTTATTTTATTTCTTTAAAGAGGAGCAAAAGCTTCTTTATGCTCTTAGTAACAGGAATACTAGACTCGACGTCTAACAACAGTGCGTCTTCTCACGAAATTAAACTTGGAGAAAATAAAAATTGACAAATTTTAGTTGGCTAAATCACACAATCCTTGCTGAGGGCACAAAAACAGATGACGATTACGCAATTATGTCTTAATTGTACCCGTATTCGATAAATAATGGTTCAAAACAATTGAGTAATAATGACTATATATACGTGATCACAAGCTACGTCGAATACTTATTTTTAAACCGGCTTTTCTTTCTCAGCATTGTGAACAACTCTTTCGCACATTTACTTTAGTTCCCTTATTATGCAAAACCGTTGTACTATCTGTAACATACCGGCTACAAAGGTTTGCAGCCGTTGCCGAAAGGTATATTACTGTAATGCTCAACATCAAAAATTAGACTGGAAAAAAAAGCACAAAGTTGAATGTAAACCCGAAACTGGGAATAGCACAGTGCACGAAAGAAATTTAGCAGAGGAGATTCAGTATGATTTACCTGATTCTTTTGCTTCGGAAGACTTTATACGCTTGTTCGAAAACATGATGGCGAGTAATCTCCACACTGGACGACACTATACGTCGTGTGCATTAATATTCCCTGACTATGCGACGGAATATAAAGCTTACTATCCCGCTGATTCATTCGGTTATACGGTCCTTTCTAAAGCAACCAAGTTAGGGGAAAGATTAGCATTGCAGGAATGGGTAACAACTGGCAATTCGTCGTCGTCCTCGTCGTCACGGTTTGATCTTGCAAAACTTCACAAGCGCTGGGGACAGACTACGCCTGAATTATTCGAATTTTTGTCGTCCAAACAGCTCAGACTCGGCTCCATCTTTTATAAAAAACGTGCGCCAATATACGGTGGTGTTAAGAGCTTTGCAAATGAAGTCAAACCACATATCGGCTTTGTCAAAGGAAGTAATAATATTACTGTTGGGTTTGTCGATCTAAGTTTACTCTTTGGAGTTCATATCGAGAAAGGAAGTGAAGACGATAGTGATGACTCTGATGACTCTGACTCTGATGACTCTGACTCTGATGACGACTCTGATGACGACTCTGATGATGACGGAATGCATACAACCACCAGGCTTATAGGGTTTGATGCGAACGGATATGCAGTGGCAAAGACCAAAGTCATATTGGCTATGATGAAAAACGACGTGCCTGCACTCAGTATTCTTCAAGTATGGTATTCATCGGTATGGACAACTGCAACGTTCGATTACTTTCAACAGGCAGTGAATAGTCTGATTCAACAAGACAATAATCCAACCGATTCAGCTGATAAGATTTACCTTCCTCATTCACAAGATGAAGTTATTGGTCATATTAAGTATTGGTCGACGGTTGAGAAGGGTGATCCGCGATTGAAATTAGAGGCAGCTCATTCGAAATGGGTGGCACAGTGTCCACCTACTTCTAATTGCTACTATATAGTTAACAACCTATGTAAACCACGAGATCGTGTTGAATTTGCAAGGAATATTCTAACAGGAGAGCTTTCTCGACCAGATTGCAAAGCCACGTCAGCAAAGGGCAAGAAGAAGAAGAATCAATCCAGGAAAACCAACCATATGAGCAGATTTGGTTGCCAGAATAGCGATTTGCTAGGAAGTGTTACAATGTTTGCTTGTCTGAATGGTTATGAACCACACGGTTCTAGTGAAGTATTGTTCAGTGGGATTCCCATGGAAAACATTCTAGCGATGTATAACAGTGAAACCACGTCATTGCTCAATGCAGTTTACGAGTTCTTGGAAGAAAATATTAACAAAATAAAAACATGGCTAAACGGTACTAACCGTCAGGACAGTCGCTGGAATGTCGCTAGCTCTTCTACTTCAACAACGACCTCGAAAACAAAGCGTGCATCTTCTCGAGTTGTTCCAACCAAAAAGCGCATTCTCAAAATCTCTCTTTACAAGGCTGAATTGACAACTGCTGATTGCTCTTGGCTTTCGCGTAATCGTTTCAAACCATATGCGGTTATATGGAGCAACGTCTGCGACTATTGCACCAAGAGTGATTTTCATACAATAGCGCGATCGCTTTCTTGTCCTTGGACAACACACACTATGCATTCGATGAACTGGCCCAGGCAGACTTTCGGGGCTATGATTAATGATCTTCCAGATAATGAGATTAGAGCTGAATGTTTGGCAGAGGCGAAAACCGTTGTTCGCACGATGGGATCAATGCTTGATAAGAGTGGGTATTTCGATTATCGGAATTTGAAGGAGAATCCAAGCAATATTGGCGATTATTTCATGGCACAAGTGACACATGACGATTGGTTAAGTTATTTCTTTGAGAATGTGGAGACTGGAAATGTGGAGAGTAATTGCAGGCCTTTTCTTGTTACTTCGACGAATGTTATGACTGTATACTTTGCGTGGAGTTACAACAGAAGACTAAAGACAAGATTTTGCGATAGGTTCAAATGAGCCCCTCTTACAGTATGTATTCTGTTGAAACGTTTAAAATAAAACACTACCGTGATGCATTGCTGTTATCGCATACTTAAGCCTAGGGTTATATCGCTAAAGATTAAATTTTAGCATTAGCCTAAGACATAAAAGGAATACTACAAATGACGTAATTAGCGTTTACTTTCCATAAAAGGAGGATGTTAAAGCGGAGTAGAATGTGACCTGATTCTTGCAACTACATTGGTCAAACTGCATGTCAACCAACGAAATTCTACCCTATCCTGTATGTCGATGTAAAACATTGTGCGTGCATTTCAGGAGGGTACATTTAGGGGGTAGGGCAACTCAGGTACTTATTTCAGACCATGTAAATAGTAAAAGGAAGGCTTGATAATCAATGTGATATAACCTCTTACTCATTGACCGTTTAGTAAATCCAGCAACCAAATCTTGGTTCCTGCCTCTGACCATATCCTTCACAAAAATCCCACAATTTATCGTCACTTTATTATGGCGGAGGCGCCTTTAACCTTACCTGAACCAGGTGAAATAATAGTTATCGACTGTAGGCCATCATCTTCATGGACACCACAAAAGTATTCAACCCAATCATCATCATCATCATCACCATCATCATCATCAACATCAACATCTCATCCAATACCTTTGACAAAGACTCTTAAATGCCTTCAATGGAATGTAGAACGTAACTATTGTCCCTCTTTAATTCTCTCGACGCTTAAAGAACTAGATCCAGACATAGCATTTATCCAGGAAATAGACATTGATTGCAAAAGATCAGGAAATCGAGATCATTTCACAGAGATAGCAGCAAACATGAAATGGAAGGGTGGTTTTGTGTGCGAGTTTATTGAGATCGAAAGCGAAAAGAGACACGACAGAGACCAGGGAGGCGGAGTACATGGAAATGCTATTTTCTCAAAGTATGATGTTGACTTTAGAGTCCTCGATCACAAGCATCAGCCTTTCAATTGGGAGAAGGATTGTGACAAGTTAAACGAACCCAGAAAGGGAAGGTAAATGAGAGGGTGGGGGTGGAAGGGTGAACGCAGAGGAATGATTGGAATCAATTTTACTCATGTGTGTTTGTATTCATAGGCGAGTTACCCTGGTTGCCGAGATCAAAACAGCATTTGGTCCACCGATACTATGTTATTGTGTACATTTAGAAGTAAGATGATATTGTGGACTCGCTCTTCGAGTTTCATTCCATTCCATTCACGCTAAAAGTCTTTTTTCTTAAATAGGTATTCTGCGGTCTTATAGGCCGAGTAAATCAATTTTCCGAGATTCTATCAGATTCGGTAATCCATGCTTCCACTCATCCATACCAATTAATCCTTGGCGATCTCAACACGAAATCACACTCAATAGCCAGATTATCGTCATTCTCTAGGGATAGATACTGTGTACTATCTCTTGGCATGAGCGAATCAGAGTGGTGGGATAAAAATCTACTTTCTTGGCACGCATGTAGTGGTGATACCAACATGTATCTGAAATATGGTGGGATTTGGCCAGTATTTGCTCTGGCGAGGTGGTGGGTTGGCGATAAGAAGAACGCGAAGAATAATGATAATGGTGCTAGTGCTGGTGGTGTTGGTGTTGACGTTGGTGTTGATGTTGGGGTTGGGGTTGGTAGTAGTGGTAATTATAATGATAATGAGAACAGAACAGCACTCTCAGGCTTCACTCCAAAAGTCCTTACCGATGCACGCAACCCTGGATTCTATGACCCATGGCATCCGTTTTACGACGTAACAATCAACTATCCAAGATACTATGCTCTATACTCTGCTAAACTTGACTGGACTCTTGTTCGTGGATTCAACGTAATCAAACGATGGATAGGTAACGATGACTACTCCGCGTCCGATCACAAGTATTTGATGATAGAAGTCGTTTTTGATGATTATAGCATTGCTAGCGATACAGAGGGCATGGCTTGGGAAGTGTGGCGGATGAGGAGAAAGGAGTGGAAGAAAAGGCTTGAGAAAGAAGTGGAGAGTAAGCGGGTACGAGGTAGCAAGGGGAGAGTAGTGCAATGGATCGGTTTTGTTGCTGTGTTTGTTGCTATTGGCATAGGAGTTGCTAGAAAACGGCTATGATAATTGCCCGCAACACATCGATTTGAATTAACGGCCGGCTGTTGGTTTGTTAACCAACCCATTCACCGTGACGTTATCTTTAATCGATAATTTCCATATCGACCAGTCTGAAGCGAAAAAATTCAGGATCGACAAATAAACCTCAAAAGTTACGAGAGATGGACAATCAAATAAAAGGGAATTGTGTGGTCATCACACGCGCGCGAACATACAGTAACTATTAACGGCAAGCATATTTATTATCAAAATAAGAGTTATTGACTAGCAATTTATTTTACTTCCCCCCCCCTTTCCCTCACAGACTAAATACGACTGACCTATCCTATATACAGTTTTATATACTAAGTACTTCGTTTTCTTTATTGATTACCTTTTCCCGCGAACTTAACAGCTTATTTTTCACCCATTTTAACCATTTCAAACCAAACCACCGATCAAGTGTTTTATCTGTCGTCCCAAAAATCAAACATACCAAGATTGCTGCTACCGCACAAACATATCTTTCTCCTAAATCCACGGGTTTCTTTTTTACAACAGATAAAATAACTCCAATTGATGTATCGAGATCTACAATGACGTAGCCGCTTATAAAGATGACCAAGCGAAGAATGACCGCTTTTGTGACGTTATATCTGGTATTCCTGGTTTGGAAAGCCGGTTTTGAAGACAAAGGTCTTGAAAGGCGAGATTTGTTGCCATCGTTACTAGATTCGATGACATCAAAAGCTGATATCTGCACCACCAAGGTGTGATTATCTGATAGATTAGAATCAGATATGATAGCTTTGCCGCTCAACTGTGTTTCGGATGAATCGACTTCTTCTGTTTCCGCTTCAGTATTTTTTTCAATCGCCTCTTGTTGTGTTACATGGTGTACGGGGAATGGTTGCGGTTTGAATTTATTCAAATGACGGATTATTGCTAATGTCGCATGAGAGCAAAAGTAAATGCTAAAAATGGACAAAACTACGTTGGGCCCGCTAGAGCCCATTAAACGAACCCATATTGGTTCGAGTACTACGCTGTCGATTTAATTAGAAATAGATTGTAAATAAATAGATAAACCAAATGAATACATAAACAAATAAATGTTTGATATCGTTTCATACCAATTAAATTCCGTTATTCTCACCGCTCGTTGGTTAATAGCTAGAATGGACACAATTATAGTTCCAACTGTTGGATATATAATCAAAAACATCGCGTAGAATTTGCTCCATTTAGAATTGGTCAATTCGTTTCGAACACGTAATACGAGAAGCCGGTATGTTTGTAAGGTAAATATAAATATACAGCCGCCTATTGCAAACCCACCACATTCTAACTAATTTTTGGAATAAAAAGGATTGGGATATTGTTAGGATAAACATTGGATCGGCGATAAGAAAAAGAGACAAGATAATGTTATATTGTTATTGCTTGTCCGGCTCGGCTCGCTCCACTGTTAGTTTATTATTATTGATTGCTTACCGCCAATGCTTGGAAATAACAAAATTCTATTGGAGCTTTCCTCCAATCGAATTTATATATAAGGCCCAGTAGCTCCACTCCATTGGCGAACACAATGCTCAATGTATAGTAAAAGATTACGGGAATCTTTTTAGATCTATAAAGCATGATTGCTGCATATGCAGCAGATAGAAAGGCAAGACCAGTAATTACTGCTTCAACTATGATACGGCCATTCATTATTTAGAAACAATTATGTCATGCGGTAGACCGCTAACAATCAAAGAAAGGTAAGGGTATTGTTTTCCTCAAGAAAACAATATCACAAGTTTAAAAAGTTAACGATTCTAGAGAGTCAGCTTTTACCCCTCCCTTATAAAAACTGTCGAGTCCAAGGTGGGGAAAGTTGTTAGATTTATCAGCAGGAGTAAGGGTTAAATATATTATCACAAAAACAACAGTTAATAATGAAAGTCACATGATTATTCCGATACAAGTTACTTTGTCAATATCGGAGGCACCCTTTGAATTCTTGGGTTGCAGTTTTGTATGACAAGCCGTTATTATCATAAATAATGTTGATTGAAAAAAAAGCTGGGCAACAGCCAAATTAGTTTACTAAATCGAAGAAGCTTAATTAAACAGAAAGTTAATACAATAAAGACCAGTAATGTGTGATATTTAGTTTATTTCATTTATCTTTGCATGTACGTCCATCAAGGCATTATTGTCTAAACTGAAATTTTTGCTTATGTCAAATTAAAAAAGAATAGAATCGAAATAAATACTATTAGATGCCAACACTAATAACGATCGATCGCTATTATAACCAGTTAAGTATTAGGATATGATTTACATGGGTACCGTTATCATAACTTTTATTAGTTAGTATTTGTATACTGGTTAATATTACCAAAAACGTTACATTCTAATTTTAATCGTAATCAAATGGGTTGTTTATTAGTTTGTTCGTTTGTTAGTTTGTTCGTTTGTTCGTTGTTCGTTTGTTCGTTCGTTGTATTCTCTATAACAAATTATCTCCGAAACAAATGGAACCCGTTGGCATTCATAACTGTTATCGCACACTTTTCTTATATAATTACTCCACTGCGTTTCGGGGAAAATTACAATATTAATTAAATTCCATCATGTGAAAAGGTCTATGTTCGGTATTTATTATTACCATTGGGATCAGTAGTGTTTAACTTAATCTCATCCAAACAAGCAGAAGGAACGCGTGGAAATCAGTGGGCTTATCAACAACATGTAGTAAACAAGAGATTTGTATCTGAATTGTTGTAAGTAATAGCAAGCTAGCGGTCTATCATTCTACTGGCCATCAGATAGTCACACTTCTGTAGATCAAACTAATTGCGTGGGAAAGTTAGGAGTATATGTCTTAATATGGAAGATAAATAAGCAAAGGTACGAAACAGTATTAATAATAAAAATGTTCAAATTATTAACGATTCATCTGCCCGCCGTCATCAACGATCTGGTTGAATAAGGCCCTTGATAAAATAAATCCATCTTTCTCTCCATGTTCTTCTCATACGACTAAAAGCCAAGCTCTTTAATACATCAGCTATATATCGCTACTGCAGTCTTGGATTTAAAAACGACCAATACTGATACTGAATACCGATACTACTTTAACAAATCAGCGTTCTCTTGCGATTATGTCAGAGGGTCTGTTCTTATGTAATAAAATCGGTTCATTTTAAAATGGCAAATCAGGTTACACCTAATTGAAATATCGGCAATTGGTCGATCGTTCTGTACAAGGTGTAGAATACTGCATGTCAATGTCAACGTCAAACCGTGAGATGTCGAAGCGTAGATACCATGCTGATGCGTGCTATATTGCATCATAATCTAAATGATCAATCCTGTCCCCATAAGCCGGCCATTTATATTAGCCGCTTAGCATTAGGGATAAATGATTATTTTTGTACGACTTCGAACATTTAATGTGCCATTTGTGGATCGCTGAAACGATAGTTAATATAATGGTTTCTAGGATTTCGGATATCACCTCTAATATTCTCGCTGAGTATTAAAATTCGTTGAATAACATGTTTGATAAACGTTATTATGGTCTGGTCAAAGTGGTCTGAACGTATTCATATGCTACAAGTATTGTATGAAACAAACCCTAAATGACGTTATATCGTGTGGTTGTACTTTCGATCTGCTAGGTATTATGTAACCTACGACTTCTGAGATCAAACAACACTTTTGAGATTGTAAACAGGTTTAATATACACGGTCAAACTTGCTTGTAGTCACCGCTGTCTCCTAGCGAACCTTTTTTTAAAAACAATTGCTCTATAATCCCTTTCCACAAACGGACTGACTGAGGTCGACTTTATCTGTTATCTTTTCTAATGTATATAAATGTCGAATAATGAAATTGACTAAAGTAGGCAATTATTTATTTTGTTGTGATGTTTGTTGGCAGTTGGGTTGGGAATAGGCAAAGTGTGCCCGTTAAACCAAAGATGTCGCTCTGTATATTGGTTAAACACTTGGCAACAGCAGTTTGATATAAGAATTTATTTATCCTTGTTTTTCGAAGAATATGCATCTAAAAATTTTCAAAACTAGAAAACATGTTATCTCATTTCACATTTTACCCATAGTACAGAACCTATTATGTAAGCTATGAAGATCTATCGCTCTATTAGTAATGTTCTGTTTGTTATTAGCATAAGTTGTTGATTAATCTTCTAATAGCCATAGCAACAACAAGTCATTGTCTATATATCCTGATTACTGCCAAAAGCTAACCGCTGCGTATAATTATTGTGCAACTAAAAAAAATATAAAGATCGACGTTACAAATTGGATTTCTATTGGTCAGTTGCTGAGATTGTTGGAGACACTTCAGCAGTAAGTAACAAACGGTCAATATAAAGGTCGAAATTAAAGACAGCCAGAGCCTTTTTATTTTTGGACCCAATTCATTTATTAAAAATTCACGCAGTCTTGGAATTGTACCAATACCGATAATAGCTACACGGGATTTGTGGCAATACATCTAGTACCGAAACCGTACTTATTGGTTGCACCAAAAGCGGTTCGTTCACTGCTTCGCTCACTACTAGATATCTTGCCAATCTGACTGTAACTTTTCGTTCAAACTAAAATAAATTATAATGTCTGAAATCCAGTGCACGGCACTTTTTGATTAAAATAAATTAGGTAAAAAGAGTATGGAATAAAAGTAAACAAATTTAAAATAACTAGATAAATTATAGAATAGTACATAAATATTATAAGCAACAGTTGGAATATTATCTTTCTAATCGTGACTATCTTGCGCTATCCAAAAAGCCTCTGCAGTTTCTGTGTTATAATAATTTGTACACTTCTTATTTATATTCAAGTTATTTTAAAAACTAAAAACACTGCAATCCCGATTGATGCCGAAACAAAATCAGATACGCCAGTCTGTAAATTTAACGGTTTGTTTACCATGAGCGAAAGAATAGTCCGAAATGATACGCCAACATTTACAGTAACATAAGCAATTGTGAATATGACCATACGCCTAGCCGCAGCTCGTGTGATATTGTACTTGTGATTTTTTGCTTTGGCGACAAATTCGCTTGTTTTTGGGAATGCATCATTATGTGTTGTTACTTCAATAGACATTGGAATGTGTATCGTGTTGCAAACGTCTTGTGGCTCATGGTGTTTGTTACTGTTATTGTCATTTTGCTGCATTTCCATATTTTTTCTCGAATTTTGTATTTCATGCGGAGGGGAAAATGTTGCTGGATTAAACTTGTGCAACAGACGAATTACCTTCATTACCACATGACCGGAGAAATAAATGCCCATAATGCATAAAATCATGTTAGCGCCATTGTAGCCAAATAGTCGAATCCACGCTGGTTCAACTATGTCGCTAATGCGTGGTTACGGCAAATTAAATGAAAGCGTGAATACGTTTAGCGCAATCTAAAGTCATACGATATATTTATATCTTTACCATTTAAAGTCTCTCACTTTTATAGCTTCTTTCGTGACAGCCAGTATAGATACTATTAGAGTCCCGACAACCGAATATACAGCCGTGAATCCGTAGTAATACCATTTCCAATTTGAATTTGTTAATTCGTGTTGTATACCGCAAGAGAGAAGACGGTATGCTTGAAGCGTATAATTGAATACGCAAGCGCCCATTACAAAGGCTGTAAACTGAATCTACAGTATGGTGTGTATGGACTTAACATGGCGTTTAAAGATGACAAGATTGAAAGCCATGACTACGTAATAAATACTCTATATATTGTGTTGCCTTACCGCCAATGCTTGAAAATAACAGACGTTGATCGGAGCTTTATGCCAATTGAAATGATAGATAACTCCCAGTAGCTCAACTACATGCAAGAACATGGCACTGATTGAGGAGCAACATATCATTCCGTTTTTTTTTGATTTGTATAATGTGATTGCCATGTATGTAGCGCTTAGCAAAGAAATAGCATTGATGATGGCCAAGACCTCTGAAGCTTTACTGATCATTTTGTGTGATAAATCTATAGGCTGTCGTCATTCGGTGGGAGATACCGCATGTTTCAGTTTTCTTAATACACAATGCGATTGACTGGGCTCAACAATACTTACAGCAAAGAAATCAAAATGGACTTGCAGAACATGTATCAATGACGAGAATAAGAACAAATAAACAATTATCTTTTAGTTATATGCATCGGGGCTCTTTTATTGATATCAAGGATGAATATCTGATTGCGATACGGACAGGTCACAATGTTAAAAAGACGATCAATACTACATTTTTGCACAACGTAGTTAAAAGGTTTACAATCGTTCAACTACAAAAATATTAGACTTTCGCATTATCATAGTAAAAAGATCATTATCTCCGAAATATAGAACATGGCGGACAGCACACTGCAAGTAAACTGGAAGACAAGCTTAAGCAAACAATAGTAAGAGTACGACAAATACAAATACTGTTAGATAATTTACTGTACTTGTATCGATTGGGCCCATTACTCTTGCATTCAAAGTTTGAATATTACGTTATAGTTTAAACAGTCATTTCTAGTATTACAAAGCAGTTGACAAAATTGTTGAAATGCCCGTTGTAAGACATTGGCGTATCATCAATTTATTAGACAAGGGGAAAGTGTGCGCCGAAGTATAAAAGTGAATTTTTTTAGGTGACGTTATTCATCCCGCGTGGTGCTTTCAACAAAGACCCAGTTTGACATTTGATCGAATAATCCCTTGTACTACCACATTCTGATTGTGCGTTACACAATCGGGACTCGATTTATTATGAACGATAAATTAGTGACGATACGGGATTAGTATGTCGACTCTTGATTACTATGTAGGTATTACAGTAATATGCATGCCTAACATGCCTAACATGCCTAACATGACTCGAGTAATTAAATACCTAATAATAAAGCGGGCAGAATAACGACCGATACAACACAGTTTTTACTAAACATAGCAACAACGTGTGCAAGAATGTGTGTAGTTAATAAGATTTAATGTGAACTGCATTGTTTTTGCACATTTTAGGGACTATACTTTGTGTACAATCTTAATTAATTAGGTCATTGTCACATCATCATTAGCTATACCTAATTTGTAAGTCTTTCTGTACCAGGGTCATGCGTATAGAGGAAATAAGTAACAGTTGATAAAAAACGAGAAAACATAAATCTATATGCGCAGGCTCAAAATTGCTGTCAGAAAATAAAAATAATAAAAATAATTTCATTGGCGAATCAGCAATCTTATTTCTTATCTTGAAAATTTATCAACAAACACTGAGATTTAATAAAGTGTATTATTATTATGGAGTGTTTGTCTAAAACTGACAGAGCCAATATCTCGATAACTGGAATTTATGCGTAATCCGTGTAGAGCCAAGTAAACTGTAAACATTTGTTTGCAAAAACCCGAGTAAACTCCAATGTTTAAATTTTAATATAAATCTTCAGTTATAAAGTCATCTGATTACCTGAACTTAAAGTTGCTATTTATTGCAGCTTAATATTCTAGTAATTAGCCAGTTAACTATGAGAGTACGATCAAGTAACCTTGAGTTTTCTAGCTTTAGCCTCACCAAGTAGTTTTCACAGCTATTTAGTTTATTAATTATTACTTATCTACTTGCGTCAATAACAACTTACTGTGGGCACTAAAATTACATTAATACAAAAAGTCTTTCAGCACTCAATGCTAATTTCAAACTATCGATGACCTTTCCCCACCGTTCCAAATTCCAATTTCTCTAATCTGCTTGTTTACACTACTATTTACAACATTTTATCCTCTGCATCCAACCAATTTATATTTAACAAGATTCCATTTCAAGCTATATCACACTACTGGTAGTTCCGAAAATCAAAAATAACAAGATTCCAATAGATGCACCAGTGACATCAGATATATTGACATGCGGGCTTACCGGTGTATTTGTTACAACGGAAATAATAGTCCCAAGCGATATTCCGATATTTATAATAAGATAAGCACATATGAAAACAACCATGCGAATAGCGATATTCAGCGTGATATTATACCTATAATTATAGACTTTGACTTCTAAAGTAGAAGATGCTCGTGTCCCTGGTGCAACGACGCTAAAGTCATTATTATTGTTCGTAGTATCAATTGACGCCGATGCTTGTGTCACCGCGTGATCTTTCTGAACCTCTAATATTTTGCTCTCCATTTCGTCAAATAACGATAGGTCGGAAGGAATGTCGATGATGTGATCGTTCAATTGCGGTTCTGAAGATTCGACTGCTGGCGTTGTTGCGTCCAAAGGACACGATAAACGGGTTTGAAAAGACTTGGAATTAAATCTGTGCAGTTTGGATATGACTAGGATTGTTGCGTAACCAAATAAGTAAGTGCCAACAATGCATAGGATGATATCAGGGCCGTTGTAACCAAATACACGAATCCAAGTTGGATAGACTATATCGCTAAAGAACGGTGCAAGTTTGGAGCATAAGCGCAAAGGTCTTGTGTATAAATTGCGTTAAAATCAATAAATTGAGTATATTTACCAACGAAACTCTCGCACTTTGATGGCCTTTTTTTGAAGAGCTAGAATGGACACTATTGTGGTTCCAACAACAGGATATGCGATTATAAACCCGTAGTAGAGTTTCTTCCATTGTGAATCGGTCAACTCGTGTCGTAGACGGAGAACGAGAAGGCGGTACGTTTGAAGGGTATAATTGAATCCGCAAGCGGTTATCAAAAAAGCCATAAACTGCAACTAGTTGGAGAGCAGGAAAGTATTAGTATTAGTGTATTTTATGTTGCAATTATCGATGACAAATAGAGAACATTCTTACAGCCAAGGCCTGAAAATAACAAAGTTCAATTGGAGCTTTGTGCCAGTCAAAACCATATCTAAAACCCCACATTTCCAATATGTTAAAAGACACGACGGCCAGTGAAAAGTAAAACATCATTGGGTTTTTCTTCGATTTGTAAAATAATACGGTCATGTACGCAGCGCATACCAAAGAAAGAATACAGAGTATTATGACAAATTCTTTTGCATTAAAAGCCATTTCGGCAGAAGGAGAGTATGTAAAAGTCAAAGTTGTGAAGGAGAGATTAAAGTCTTTATTATCGAAATACGTTATACTAGTGATTGTAATGAGTGACAATAGTTACGGCAAAGCGTGAGAATGTTTCATGAATTGTGGAAAATGCGATACATGGTTAGTTCTTATTTATCTCACTGCGCATACGGGGTAAAACTGTTATCAAACAGTAAAGATATTAACATCAGATATTCCATTCACGCTGTTATATACAGCACATGTGTTTAGTCAAAATAGATAACAATCGGAGTCTTACAATAAGTAATTTAAAAAAAATAAAAATTTGTCCTTTTTTGAATAAAAAATATTTTTGGCGGGAGATAAAGTTCACGGCCCCATCACACAAGTTCCCGGATCGACCGTAAACAGCTATATTGTCACTATTCACGGTTCAGCTGAAATACTAATCTTGAAATTAGCTTTAGGCTGCTGAAACGCTACTTTACTATCAGAAAAAAAAAATAACTTCCATTGTCGTCACTCGTTTGTCTTTGTTTAATTTGCTGGCTACAATCGATTGCATTAATTAAAATGCTATTATTATTATCATTGTTACCCGAGAATTGGCTAATCCTAAAAATTGCACGCTTGCGTTTCTATTTATAAAAAATTTCATAAATAAATATTTAATTATGCGGTATTAATTTAGTATAAATAGAACTAGTTGTAGCCTTTATTAGTCGGTTTTAATGGTCGGTTATAATATATTATAAACAAAGCACGGTTGTGATATTCTTTCATATGATATGTAATATGACGTAAATGAGGGTTCACGATCGCATGTCGAGGGATTAGTTGAAAAGGGGTTCAGGCAAAATTACTAGAAAATTCTGAATATCAATTCGAATGCCTATGTATGATCGCCTAGTTCAATACAAATAAGGGATTGTAGCAGAGGTTGAAATTTACATGGAATTCTACGGTTCAAACAAGAAGAAACAATTTGTTGATCACGATATTATCTTTGCGAATAAGGTAGTTTGTATGTAAAGTCGAATTAAATCCTTACTATTACGAATTGTTAAACAAAACGAACAATGTTAGTTTACAGTACAGTAGTAAAATTTAAGGGTAATTCATGCGCGAAGATCAATAATTGAGCCAACGATAAATTTGGAAATCAACGTTAAACACAGTGTTTCTACATCCAATCACGCATCGGCTAATTAAAATGAAAGACAAATACGAAAAGGTATGAAACAAGCCAACAACGGTTGATCGCAACAATGGAACAGGCATCCGAACAAATTCGAATGTTTCTACGTTTGCAAAATCGATTTCACGTTATGAAACCCCGCAAAAAAAAAAGGAAAAAAAAAAGAATCTTACTAGAAAGCATTTTCACACAGATTCAATGCTTATCAGTCGGTCGGTTATTTCTAAAAGTAGTTGCGTTGATGCGATGTTTGCAAACCGTTAATCACGAGATTAAGCAGTTACTTGGTTAGAACAATTTGTAATATGTTTTTTATCTTTTCCCAATCCGTACTCGGAAAGAGATTATTAAGGGGTCAGGAAAAAGAAAGGGTCAGGAAAAAGAAAACCGTTATATATGTACGTAGATATGATGATAGATATAAAATGTGTGTCAGCAATAAACCGTAATTGGCATTGCTTTCTAATATAGTATAAGAACCGTTCTCGATATAGAAATTGATAGCATCGTAATTTCTTACATAATAATGATTCTCCCTTATTTCCCTTCGTTCCTTGATACGATTTTCGTTCTTTTTCGGAGTTGCTATTTTGGGTATAAAAAACGATGGGCATACGGAATGACGACGGACCTGAGAATGTTGTTATTATTATTGCTAAAACGCATACATCACGCAATGACGTCACGAAAGATCCGACTAATAGAAGCGCGCGCGCGCTATTATCTCGAGTCGGATAATAGATAACTATACGTTTTTCATCGGCAACAGAAAATTAAATCATTCCGTCAGTATGAAATCAATACCCTCAGTCTTTAATTAAGGCTGTCCATCTGCTCAGTATTTTTATTCGTCTTTATTACACGGACTGGTAACCATTAAACCTTATCGCCCTATTCGCCTGCGATGGCATTGAATAATTGATCTATCAAAATACCATTTTTCGGCCCAGTCAATCCATGTGGTTTATTCTTACATAGTATCAAGTGTTATTCAAGATTAATTGCAATATTCTTTTCTTACGCCTTCTCTTTGCCTTTTTTACTCGCTTTATCTTTCTTAATCTTTTTACTGTGCACCTTATCCTCTGTCTTGGTCTCTTTATCTTTCGTCTTACTCCTTTTATCTTTCGATTTACCCTCTATCTTGATCTCCTTATCTTTCACCTTACTCTCTTTATCCTTCGTCCTACTCCCTTTATTTTTCGATTTACCCTCTATCTGGATCTCCTTATCTTTCACCTTACTCTCTTTATCTTTCGTCCTACTCCCTTTATCTTTCGATTTACCCTCTGTCTCGCTCACATCGTCCTTCATCTTCCCTTTATCTTTTGTTTTACTCCCTTTATCTTTCGTCTTACTCCCTTTCTCCTTCTTAACAATATCTTTCGAAATTTTCTCATCACCAGGTGCCTTTTTTGATTTTTTCTTTGGGCTTTCTTTTACGGTTTCTTCAACTGTCTCTTTGTCGATCTTCATCTTTTTCTTTGGACTTTCTGACGATTTCATCTTGCGTTTTTTGGTTTTGTCTGTGGAAAAACAATTGGTCAGAAACCAATAACAAACCATGGTATGAACACATGTGGAAGCCGCTTAAATCACCCATATTACCTTTCACTCCTTCTTTTTCAGTCGCTACTGACTCTCCTTCATCAACATCCATTTGATCCTTTTCTCCAGCAGTCTTTTGTAGGGCCTCTTGCTGTATTTCATTTATAACTTGCTTCATAACTTCATAGTTTTTCATTGGGTGATGATCTAAATCCATATTATTTTCGGTCTGTACATAGTCAAGTATTGATAAACGCTCTTCCACTTGTTTCTTCAACGCCTCACCGAATTTTGACGTCGGCGTGTCTAATGTAACATGGGGACGACAATGAAAAGTCGTTAATGGCTCTCCCTCTTTCAAAATACTTGGAACAACAACCAATCCGTATTCCAACTCACCAGAGAAGCAATCAATCCGTGATGCTATCGAGCATTTATTGGCTAAAAAACGCGAAATTTTGCCTTTGGACTTAAAGCCAGCACGGCCTATAAAGGTGGAATGGTAAAGAAGACCAAATTTTGGTGTTGCACTCTTTGTTTTAAGAGCTCTAATGAAGAGATGTGGGGTGGGGGTGGGGGTGGGGGTGGGGGTGGGGGTGTGAGTGTCGTGAGTACGTATATTAGCATTAGCAGTACATCAGCTTTGCCTTTAACTTCTTGACCATCATATTGAATAACGTAACTTTCTCTCTCGACCATCATATTAAATAACGTAATATTTTCTCTCTCGAATCTCTTATTTCAGTTCATTTTTATGCACATAACTCTCGCTTCCACGTGATTCTCACAACTCACCTGAACAGAGCCTTCTCGGCTCCGAGGATCTGCAGAGTCGATGCGGGATATTTTGACAAATTTCTCAGACCACCAGCATGCGAAATCAACCTAGCCGACACAATTTCTCCCAACAATGCCGCCAAATTCGGTGCTACGTTTTCCATCTTGTTCACCAAGTATTCGTGTAATTTCTTTCTGAACTTTGACAATTCGATGACTCTATTTGCAAACTGAGTGATATTAATCATATCCAAGTCGGATATGGCAGAACCCATGGAAGTGCGAGCAGCTTCAATAATATCTTGAGATTTTTTTTCATCGCCAGTTATTTGCGTCAGTGAATCAAGAGACGATTCGGAAAGGCTGCGTTTGTCTCGGATAATAGGAACTAATTGAGCGTACTGTACGTTATCGCCGATTATCTTTGCAAGTTCGGGGAAATGCCACGAGTACCATTCCCTACATAGTAGGAATTGAGAAAGAATATGTAAAATCGTTGAAACTATCCTAGGTACATAAAAAACGGTTCCTACACAGCACATCACGTCTTCAAACACATTCTTCTCAATTTGCGCTTGTCCAAATCAATAACATCCACTTACCTAACCCTCATAGTGAAGGTATTAATATCCTTATCCAGCATATCCAACAGATTAATTGCCTGCATGGCCATTGTGTCTGATCTCTCTGCGCTGAACTTGACCTTACTTCTTGAATAACTGTGTCCTAATCCCAACTGTCCTCTCTGTATGTCTCCCTTTTTTAGGTATCCAGACAACAGCTTCTCAGCGTGCGTCCTTAACCCACGGCCTATTTCTAAGACGCGTTCGCCAGTATCGCATGAGTACTCGAGTTCGGCAGTAATAGAAGACGCAAGGTTTTTGTCCTGTATACCAAGAACAAAACTTTTCTTGGATGCTGGTAGAGATTCTTGCAAAAAGTGGCCCAGCCTTGAACTAATCTTGCCTGTGTAGTTATGATTTTGCGGATACGTGAATTGGAGCCAGATGACGGATTTGAAAGAGTTAAATTTTGTGATCAAATGTTCAAGTGCCTTATCTTGGATCTCTCACATCAAATCCAATAATATATACTTATTATAACCAACTAGCAATCTCCATACATTTCACTCTCTATTGCTCAAATGCTTACCTTCGGCAATGCTGCTAGCGTTCTCTAGCGCATCTGCAGAACTAGTAAATGGCAAGTATGACGTTACTTTCACTATTTTCCCAAATTTGGCCAGATCGCTTATCGCGTCTGCTTCCTTTAACTGTCTACCGACTTCTTCAAACTCTAGACATTGTGTCATTACATAGCCCAAAGATGTTTCGTGCAATACGAAAAAAGACTTGAAAGTACGCATCGCATCAAAGGAAAACAATGTTAGAATAGTTCTCACAGTTGTTATTAAAGAGAGCAGACATACCATATTTCAAGGCTGTTTGATGTTATGTGTTTGGGTTGGGTTGAATCGTGTTCGCAAAAAAATAACGCAAAAATTCGGTTTGTGATATCAGGTGATCACCTGTCACATTAGTAGATCATCCGCTAAGTCGATAGTTCGCGATACGTTATACGAACAAGTCAACGAATTTATTACAAGTTCAACGTATTTTGTTTCTTCTTTTCAATGCTTTGCATGTAATGAGTCTTCTGAGATTATGTAACTCCTTTATCTAATCTCTAAATTATCCTGTTGAACATACTGTATTTCACTACATTATCAAGTCCTACGATTGCACCATTGACAATCCACAGCTTCGTCGTAGATCAGCTACGATCATTGTAACGCGCAAAGTTAAAATTACTTTAAAACTCTAATTTTTTGTGCGCCACTTAAAGTAATTGCTTTGCTTTGCTTTGAAGCAGAATGTTTATGATCGTTCGATTCTTATGTTCGAATAAATTGTTATACCTCAGTTTGGGACCTGTCTCGAGTGTCTGGGTTCGGAACCGACAAACTCAGACACATTTGGATTAGCATCTGTTATAGGCTTTATTGAGAGATTACCAATAATTCAAAAGATACATTTGATTGGTGATACTTTGTTCCGTCAAACATCTCCATGTAGTCGAGGGTCCATTATATCGAGTTTCATGTAAGCGTGCACAGTGCATCAAGTGCGATACAATACTGTACGGGTCCGTATTATTTCATCTCCAATCATTTCACCGACAGTACATTTCACCGACAATTAACTACCAAAAAGGATAACTTCGAAATAATGTTGGTGAAGATTTGTCGGTGAAATGATTGTCGGTGTCGACGAAATGATTGCCTCCCATACTGTACAGCGATCAAGCATAGGAATAGCCCTATAATTGACTTGGTTAATAAGGCGAGCAGGCTATCTATTTTACTGGGCAAGTAAGCTTAAACGTCAGTAGATCATACGATTAAAGCAGTAAATATGTCATTAAATCATACGATTAAAAAAGTAGAATCAAAATACTAAAACGTAACATTTGTTGGCCAAGATTTTTTTTATAAATAAAAGTAGTTATTATCCCTCACTGTCTTTGCGACTTTGTCAACAAGAGCCAGTTAAGAAAAAAGCAAGCCGACTCTCTATTACGATATTACGATGTAAATCATATTAATAATAAAATTGCTTAATTAAATATCTTTCATCACGTGAGTCTCGATAACTCGGTAATACAAAAAAGTTAATCGGTACTAAGCGCTTAGACCATAATAATAACATGGACTCTAACTCGTGCTTCGTTTTCATAGTAACACCTAAATAATCGTGATAAAGTTCTAAATTTTAAATAACTCGTGATATTTTGACTATACCTTTCTTATTGTTGATTATCCGCAATGACATCAATATGCAACAGGGCGAATATTAAGTATTGTCTTACCAAATCTAGTAAGAGAAATAATTGTTTTTGTAGTCCGGGCACACGCACCTGAGGAACATACAAGCTTTCTTAGAACAAGTTGTGACAACATCGGGATGTCACAAATACATACTGAGTTGTATATCTTGGCATGGCGTTAGTTGATTCTAATAATTATCTTTTTCCAAAGGCAAGGCACAAAAACGTGTTTGTCGATATCACCTCACCTTATTCGACAGCGAACCAATAAGTTATTGTACCAACATGCTTTTCAGACAATAACTTGAGGTATATTAAATAGCTCACCTAACAACAGTTTGTGGAGAACATTGATTCTGAATAGCTTTGCAACAGCAGACGACCATTATTCTACCGATACCTCTTGAAAATATTTCATATTTGTCAAACACCTTTCACGCCCTGTTGATTAATATTTTATGTCGAAAACAGTCCCAACTATTAAAGCAGCTCTCGAGAATGGGGACTACAATGCGTCGCTTCGTAACAACAACGGCTGTTTTTCTCTTGCTTTGCAACACGCTTATCTACTACAACACTAATGTTGAAGAAGCGAAAATAATGGATAGTCACAATACAGAAGTGAGTTCATAGAGAGAACGTAAAATCCATAGTTATATGAGTTATCGTCATTCAGCGATAGAAATATACATAGTTGCACAAAGCCTTTTACCTTTGAACAAACAACGATAAAAACCTTACCATATATATTGTATTCTTGAGTAACCGCAATTATCGACATCATTGGTTTAATTTTAATCTCGTATTAACAATTTAATTTATATCTTTCGCCAAGGAGAAATCAAATGACACACAATCGGCTTCCATCGAAGCTATAGTTTACGAAACAGAAGAAGAACAGATAAACCGTAAATACTGCGGTTCTCCTGTTTGCAAGTTTTTCTTCCCATTCACTGTAGGAGAGCAAGAATCCAGAGCAAGACTGCAGGTGCCAGGCATAATTAGCATGGCACAACAAACTAATCGAGTATTAGTTTTACCAAACGTTGGAGATGCAAGACTAGGTGCATGCAAGCCTTTTACATTTGATTATTACTATTCTATCGAATCAATGCGGCAGTCTTCTCCAAACACTATATTTATTACACAAGATCAATTTTTGCGGTGGAACCAAGAAATGAAGGCAATCAAAGCTAACAAGTTTACAGCAAAGATTATCAGATTAAGCGATAAGGCGCAGAAAGAGCACGTTGGACTCGATATTAAACTCAATATTGAACAATATAGACATAAGCAATGTTTAATGCCATTTGATCACTTGGAATATGAGAACACAGCACTAGACATACATATCAGAAAGACAGGCAAGCATCAAGCTGCAATCACACAATTTGTCTTCAATACTCTTCGATCCGTTCAATCAGACGTCATGCTCATGCATTATAGGGTTTACCGGTTCAATTGTAAACATCCGCCTGCTCCGCTTACATATGCTGAACGGTTGAAGAAACATGCAAAAGTTGCAGCAACTTTGCTTTATCCTTACGTTGCAGTTCATTGGCGAATGGAGACGGCGGCGCCAAGTAAGCTGTTAAAATGCAGTCAAAATCTTGTAGCCTATATCAATCATATAAAGAAAAAGACGGGTATTGTCAATGTTTACGTTGCTACTGATTATCCGATTGACGGCGGTCGCCAGCATTCAGGAACTTTTCGTAAAATTACCAGAGATCATCATAGAGCTGCAAACGTACTTAAGAGCAATATCGACTTTTCTACTTTGGAGCGCATTAATTCTTCCCTTCCTCTTCTCAACAACACGGAATTTTTATCGTTATCAAATAATGCTATTAGGCATAGTGAATCAGGAATACCAGGAATTCTGGATAAGTTAATACTGATGTATTCTAATTGGTTTGTCAGTGGTCCAGAAAAGTGTTGTAGAATAAGCAGTTCTTATACAGCACAGGTGTTGAAAGAAAGAGCTGCAATTATAGATAATCAGAAGGAATTTGAAGAGGAAACTGTAAACAGCGTCTTGTTAAATGTGGGGGATAGATGGGAGCGACCAAAATGGCCATGAGAAACATTGTTGACTAAATCAGATTTAATAGTTCGCTAAAGATTGCATAATTTTTTTTATCTCTCTTTTTTTTTTTTTTTTTTTTTTATGTGCGCATTAAAACCAAACTGTGTATTATTCTTATAAAAATCCTGGCTAGCATTATCGATATTGAAAGCCATGACTGTAAAGTAGTAAGAAGGATAGGAATGGTGTACAAAAATAGTCTATGCTTAAGCTCTATGCTTAAGCTATTATACGAGCCAGTACAACAGTAAAAGAGTAGAGTTAGCATATACTGTATCTATTATAATGACATACGTCGTTTGAATTTTGTCAAATTTATTACAGTATGTCAATATCGAATATTATTATCGAAAAATGTTAGCTTGCTAATTAGTGCAAGAGAAATATAGTTATTTACCGGGACACTCGGCAAGTCGAAGACATATATAAACTCTCGGACCGAAATTTGTTACAAGTTCTGTAGCAGATTATCCAATAACTTTTCTTCATCTTTGTCATTATTTCATTTAAAACATTTCTTGTTTACCCGCGGTTATCCCATTCGAAAAAAATGCTCTTGTAATTGGAAATATGTACAGAATGAAGATCAAACATGAACATTCATTTCTGAAGGACAAGTGGTAAAGAAGCAAACAGGGGTGACCCCTCGGAACTTGGATATTTCCGATTTTCCGAATTTGGAACAAAATCGTCAATCAGTTTGCGACAATGCAGGGCGAAAGAGTCTTTTGAAACGAAGTTTAATCAGGTGACTCTTCACTATTACTAGAAACTTATTATTCATGGACATATCGCTCTCAAGCTAAAATGTGATTGGTAGACCTAATAAAAGATTCTTCGCTGTACGACATATATGTTTGAATTGGCGACTCGTATTTATACTGTACATCCGTATGTAATCAGCATTCGCACTTAGAAACTATTAGTCATCCTGATACTATTTGGCTATTTATTCACTTAAATACGCTTTATCGAAGAGCACTCTCAAGTTTTAAAATTTTCCATAGCTATTATTCAAATACCAATCTAATCGTTTCAGATATGGCAGAAGCCAATGCTGTTGTATATAACAGTTCGCTTAATATTAAGAATTCTCGAAAAACGGTCCTTGATAAATTGAAAATACGCTACTGCTTTGTAGTAACTCTATGCCTTCTGCTTTGCAATTATATCAACAACGTAATTAATATTGAACTCTCAAATAATATTGGTGCTGAAGTAAGTTGTCAAATCCTAGTTATTACAAAATTTATAGTGCAAACTCTAATTTTTTTGAAAACGGATCTATACGTCAACTAAGAGTTTTTTTTTGTTTGTTTGTTTGTTTAGTTTCAAACAAAACCAAACGACAAACAAGAAATTATAGAGTACAAAGAACCTACCAAAACAAAAGAACAAATAAATCGTAAATACTGTGGGACTCCCGTCTGTAAATTTATATTCCCGGTTCTTATAAAAGAGCAAGAGTCCAAAGCAAGACAGCACATGAGAGACATTATTACTATGGCACAACAAATTGATCGAGTAGTAGTTTTACCAAACGTTGGCGATTCAAGACTAGGGGCATGCAGATCTTTTACGTTTGATTTCTATTATTCCATCGAATCGATTCGGCAGTCTTCTCCAAACATTACATTTATTACACAAGATCAATTTTTGCTGTGGAACCAAGAGATGAAGGCGGTTAGAGCTGAAATGCCCACTGCATATATTGTCAAGTCGTCTATGAAAAATGATATTCAGATGCCCAAATTTGAATCCAAGTTGCTTAAATTTAAAACGTACCGACGAAAGTTTTGCCTACAATCGTTTGACTATCTAAAGTACGATGACAGACAAGGGCAAGTTCTTGAACACAGTATAAGGATGCCAAGTACGCCACTGGAGCAGCAAGCTAAAACTGAAATTTCTCAGGCTGTAATTAACGCTCTTCAGTCTGTCAAGTCGGAAGTTATGCTAATGTGTTATCGCTCCTGGATACTTGATATTCCACACCAGCCAGCACCGCTTGTATATGCCGATCACTTAATAGAGCGAGCCAAAGCAGCAGCAACATTGCTATACCCTTACATTGCAATTCATTGGCGGATGGAAACGGCAATGCCAGATAAACTTTTTCGATGCAGTCGAAATCTTGTGGATTATATTCATGATATAAAAGCAAAGACAGGAATTGACAACGTTTACATTTCTACTGATTATCCAATCGATGGGCGTCCGCATTCAGGAACTTTTTCTGAACTTACTAAAGAACATCATAGAGCGGCAGACCTACTTGAAAACAATTTAAATCTTTACACTTGGGCGCGCATAAATTCTTCATTGCCTTTCCTTAACAATACGAAACTTTTATCATATGGGAATAATTCTGACGTTAATGAACAAGGAGCATTTGCAATTACAGAAAAGTTGATATTGGTGTATGCCAATTGGTTTGTCAGTGGACCGCGCAAATGTTGTAGATTTGGAAGCTCTTATACTGGTCAAGTTGTAAGAGAAAGAGCTAAGGTTATTAAAAGTCAGACTAATATGGATGGTAATAATGCGTTATGGAATTTGAGAGATTGGTGGACAGAAATCCGGCAAGCACACTAGTCACATTAGTAATTACGTCATGGACATTAAAAAATCCGACTTTAATTGTTAATACAGTCAACACTGTTTATACCGGTGCGATGTATATTAATTATAATATACCGGAATTTCTGCGGACTGATTCTTGTGCACTATAGTTTCACTGTAGATAATTTCAGGTGATTAGAGTTTATAAAAGTTTAATACATTGTCGACTTTGTTTAATACTGTGTATTCTTAAGTCATAGTGTGCTTGGGCTATTCAATGCCATACAGTTACTTGTAGAAAGTGCATTAATATTCTCAGAACGCCCAGCTTATGATAAAAGATGACCCTTTGATCAATAGATTGTTTATTGATAGGTGGCATTTGCTTGCAACTACGTTCCTAGTTAAACTTTAATGACGTTGTTTATTTCTTCATTCTACTCTCAACTGCTCCGGCAATAAAATATTTAGAACTTCTGTTCATTCCATATTAGCTTCATTGTAACAAATATTCGTTCTCCATAGCATTGTGAGTTTCAGTCCATTATTGCTGTTACCTACGCCATTGATAAGTTTGCAATTTTATTCATTTATTTATATGAGCAAATAATTATATAAAGTATCTATGCTTAGAGGGATAGTTGTATTAGCAAAGGCTAAACAATGAGTCAGTGTCGACATCATAATCACAAGTATTTAGGCTAAGCCCTGTGGTAACTTTTGGTTAATATCAGCTATACTGCACTATAATTGAATCATTTATAAAGTAAAAGTAATATTAATCTTGTATTCTCACATTTATTTTGCTTGAATGTATTTGAATCTTATCTTAAATAAATTTACTAGGCATAGTAATAGTGGCTACCTTTGATAAATCTATACAATTAACTGTTACTTATTATAATGTTTCTTTTACTTTATGTTTATAGTATGCATTCAACATATATTCACAATATCCTGTAATATTATTACTATTATTATATACATATTCACTCTTATATTAAGAAATTTTTAAATCTTGAAAACAATTTTTTATCTCAATAAAAAAACTCAATTTGTCATTGAAACTAATATCTCTTAAATCAATTTTTGTATATTCTAGTAATGAATCAATGTAAGTATTATCATACAAATTAATGCTAAGAGTGAAAAATTCAAGATTTTCTGTATAGTTAGATAAAAACGTGGTCAAAATTTCCAAAGACAGTTGATAATTAATTCCCACTTTGAGACATTTTACTGATAGTGGTAGATTAATACCAAGTGCCAACAATATTCTTACTGGTATTTCATCATCTTGGTGAGAAGAATGAATTTTGCAAATAAAGACAGACAAGTCTTTCAAGTGTCTCCATAATGGAAGAACAGTTTGCATAAATGTAATAGAATTCTGTAGATATACATCAACTTCCAGACTGACAAGTTTGGGTGTATTCATTGCACAAGCTTTCCATGTTTCAGCATAATATTTCTGGTCCATGTCACATACTTGTCTTATAGACAGTGTTGTTAAACTTTCCTTCAAATTTCCTAATATAGCATTAAATCCATAACGATTAATTTTTACATCACATAATTTAAGAGTATGAAGGTGAGAGAATGCGTTTGATGGTAGCTGCAAAGGATATGGTGGATATAAACTACAACACTTTAGCTTGATATAACAAAGATTTGTAAAATGACCAAGGAGAGCAAGTATGTCAAATGATGACAGACATGTAATTTTGACTTTTTTGAGATAGTTCTTTTGGGCATATAAAGCTTGCCAGACTGGTTTTGAACTGATTCCATGACTTTGAAAATCAAGAGATAGCGATACAGCTTCTAATTTTTCTTGCTGGCATATAAGTTTACTGATTGCGTCACACCAACGATTAGCATCTGCCAATGTGGTACAATCTGACCCATCGATTTTGAAAAAATCAAGCTTTTTTAGTTTTTCTGCGGCGCTATTTAAAATGTCCGGGCGAAACATTTGCCCAAATTCAAATCGCCTTAATTGATTAAAATTTGTGCGTTCCGTAGTGAAAATGTTCCAGATTTCATGAGGCCATTCATGGAGAGAATAGCTTATATCATAAGTAGTGTCGCTCGCTTCGTCATATTCTTCGTCATAATCGAGCTGGGTCATATCTATTTCTGATAGCGACGGGCAGTGTTTGACTATCTCTCTGCATAGTCTTAGAAGCAGCAAATGTCCACATTCCTCTAGTTCCGTTTTACCGAGATAACGTACTACTGCGGTCAAGCAGTATTGCATTTTCATTGTTCTGACAAAGCTCAAATAGTCGAAAAATGGATGCATATTTTGCGGTGGTATGTCGACTCCTAGTGAACCTGTCAACTCATCGAGAGTTTTTTTCGGTAGCAGTGCCAAGAATTTGCCGAGCATTCTCTTTGATTTGGATCCACTCCAATAGAAAGGTGTCTTCCATAAATAAACAATAGCGCATCGGCACCAAATGCGATTAACAAAGAGACAGGAGTAAAGGTCTCTGCTGCTCTCAGACAATTCATAAACTATTTGTGCAACACAGAGGATAGGTAAGTTTGCCGCTTTGTCGCTAGTCGTCATTTTCGATGCAATGAATCGGTTACGTAGTCAAGTGTTTAGACAAGGACGGATGTGCGGAAGTGCTGCTAAAATATATATCCTTTGGTCACACACAACACCAACTTCTGTCGATCAGTATTCGCTAGCCAGCTACATACTTAAAGTAGTAATTATATTGACAACAACTCGAACATCTGATACGTTTATTCTATTTATATATGTACGGTTTTCTACTATCCGACGGTACTTACAAGTGTGTGTTCTCTTTTCTAAAACTCTATCCAAAATTTTATTTCATTGGCGCTAATACAGATGTCATTCACCTATACTTTGCTATCTATTGGTCAGGGGTGAACACGAGTTTCATCAACGTGGTACAAACCAGGTTTTATAAATGGTGTGATTAATATTAAGGGGGTTTACTATCTGTCACTGCTGCACGCATAGTTGAAACTCCTTTGATAACGTAGACTTGACTTGATTCCTAGGACTTGCATATAAATATCCTATTGTCTCACATCGAAACTTTTCTTTTTTCAATACTACGACTTGTACACATTAGCGAACAAGTAGAGAACGACCTGTGTCGTTATCGACTTTCATGTGCTCGTTCTAAAGCGGATAGTGACATTCACGTGTTCGTCTGACGCACATATAATTTAAGTTACATTTTCTGTATAATATATTCGGTTAACGATCGGCTATGACGCATCTATCGTCATGCATGCCCATTGTTGCTGTTTGACAGTTATCGTTATTAGTTAAGCGAATCCCTTGATAAGCCCCCTAATGTAATGAACACTGCGCCTCCAATGTTAATAAACTTTATTTTAGTCGGTGATTGAGTTCAACAATATCGACTAGTGGAAAAGCAGAGTCGCAACGGTGTGTTATGGTTTTATATTTAGTTGCTTGTGTCGGACTTGTTGTTCCGACCGACGTAATAGTAATCTCTATTTCGGTAAGGTGATTTTCCATCAGCATATTATCTTGAGACAAGTACAACATACTTTGTGTCACATGTCAGTAGTCCATTTCATTGTACAGTACATGCGAACGAAAGTTAAAGAGCATTAACAAGCCAAGCTTATCCTGTTTATGTCAACCGCATATAGTGTTTTATATTTTGACAAATACTTCTCTATCCCCGTTATCTGTCAATAAGCAAGCTGTCAGATCATGCCCAAGAGAAATACTACAATACGTCCAGGATAATAAGACTGCTACACTACAATGTTTTGAGAATGCATTGAATTTAGGAATGCATTAGATAGTTGAGAACTACAGTCGTGTATTAAATCGACAAGTCGGTTGAAGATGAAGATGGAACACTTGTAATAGTAGCTTCCTTGTTCATTGCTCACAATCACGATATTACCAGTTGCAAGCAGATTATGTGCATGTATCAGATATGACAAAGTGCACACTACACGTATAGCTATACACATATAGCTAGATATGGTTCTCAACATTAAACCATCTGGCTTACTATATATTAGATGGCAAGTCTATGCAATGTATTGTCGAGCCAACTGCCGCGGGAGAGCGTTCAGTAATTGGCCTTGGGATTTAGCTTTTTCAATCGGACCTCTCTAATCAAACCTGCTTAAATTGTTATTACAGTTAGTGTTAGTGGCTGGCCTTATTTCTGGCTTTAAATATACCACAATTCCCCAAATTAATCGATAGGCATAACGCATTACTATGCTGATTACCCACCCAAATCGGTAGGATAAGGGTTGATTCCGATAGTCCGTAGAATACAAAGGAGATTGTAATACACCAAAAGAAACGCTTTTATTAGTAATGAATTAACAATTGTATTTGCCAATTATGAGAATTGATGGACAAGATCAGTTCTTCCCAGCAATTCCGGAATCCAACTACAAGCTGAAGATGAAAACTGTTTGCGCTTATATACTGTCCTATCGTTCCACTAATACTAACTAACTATCTAATTATAAATCTATATATTAATATATTAATATGCTAACCATTAATTAATTTACAGTGAGTAGCATGGGGGTTTGTCGTTGTCGTGTGATTTTCCCCTGGCAGATTGATTATGCAAACCGTCACTCCATAAATCCAAATGTAGGAAAGCGTCATCTATTTCAGATGCATGAGGAATACGTCACTATCATGGCGCACGGCTATATTTGGGAGGTATTAGTATTGTTATCACATACAAGGTTAGCTCTGCTAAATTATTTTGACTTTAAACGTAAAGACTTCCTCAATACGCAATGACCAAACTTTCGAGTGATTCAGTAAGATTCACCTAGACAATGATTAATAGGAAATACTAATATTTTCTTCTATATTAACTTTTTTGTTTGTACTTTCAAAACAGAGTACGACTGGTTCCATTACCAAGGCAGAGCTCTCTTATTTCAAAACTCTAGTATTTAATGTATGTATGTTTTTAACTATGAAAAATAATCAGATATCTTGCCGAAAAGAACAGAGAAATCTCGTACAAGTAAATTGACGAGAAAAGCAGCAGTGGAGCATGTGGATAATGTACAAGGTTATAAACTCGAACCATTAAATAGTTGTCGACTGTGTAGATTTATGTCTTGCAAATTTATTTTTGTACTTTTGTTTATTACTATTGGATTGCGCAATATTTAATTCCTTATATTATTGCATGGGGACAACATAAGAATTTGAAAGGCGAAGTAATGGAATGTTACACTTGGCGGCACAAAATTTGAAATAGGAAAAAAATGTTGCTCTGAAAGCAAAACAGTTTTCGTAATTCTATGTTGCAAGGTCCACAAAAAGAATTAGTCGAAACGGGTTCCCACGCTAAAAGTAGAAACATTTCAAAGAAAATGCATTCGTATGGTTCAGAAATCGTTGCACACGGTTACTCCGAAAATGAAAGTAACAAAACAAATAGATCATTGTCTACACAAAAGCGTCGTCTGCGTAACGTCAAGGTCTGACCACGATACTATAAATGTTCTCGAGTCGTTGATATCTTAGTTATTTTACCTTTCAATTAATTACAGAGAACACTCTTTTACTAAACCGACAATACCGCAATCGAAAGAATGGAAACTAGACTGGATTGTGCTATAAAAGCCAGTAATCAACTGGTAACAACTTTACATCGTGACGGTTTGGACAACGGATGTGTCACAACGTTTAATGACTCTTTGGTTATTAGGCAGGTAAAGAGTTGAACCCATTTTTTGGTGGAATAATTGCTATAACTTGCCGCCGTGTTTTTTTAATAAACAAAAATTTTCCTTGATTATACACATTCACATACGTGTACGTATTTTAGAACTTTACGGATGACGAAAATAGGCTTCATCGTTCCCTCAATTCTTTGAGAAACGCAGCGGCTGGTGAAACCCGTCTTTATGACAGTATATACGATGTCGTCGTAGGAATTTTCCGTCGAAAGGCTAACCGCACTCGTCCTTGGATTCTAGTCGTCGTGACTGATGGAGATGACAATTGCAGTACACGAAGTGCTAGGCAATGTGCTCAAGAAGTCTATCGTTTATTTACTAATGAAGAAAGTAACTTTTTGTTTGTCGTCGGTGTGGGAAGCGGTGTAAATTCATCTAAACTGCAAGAGGTAAATTTTCTTTTCTCAAAGTTTGACTTACGTCATCAGTTTTCTCAAAAACACTGCTGCTAACGTCATTTGTTTCTCATGAAGCAAAGGGCAAAAGAAAGCTTTTGCCAATTATCACTTTACTGAATAACCGCACGTCTACGTATGTTCAAATAAAAACCAGATGGCCAACGTTGGTAGATTTGAATACATCCATGTCAAAGATTTCCTCCTTCTCGAAGTTGCTTTAATAACTCTTGCTCACAAAGTAACCACTTCCCTGTCGCTTTCCGTCAACGCCCTCTCTGTTGGTAATGTTTCCGCATCTTGGGCTGAAGTTCAAGAACATAGAAAACTCAGCAACGTTGCCATTGATTACGGTTTGCTGATAGACATGTCGACATCCATGAACGAAATATCGAGCAGGGCACAATGTTTTGAGGGACATGATTTGAGAAAGTATAGGTTGGGACCGTGGATTTGTGACGTATGCGGAAAAAACGGCCCGACAGAAGTAGGTTTTTTAATGCTTTATTGTTAGAACTTTTGAATAGGTTGTCAAATCATACTAACGTATAATAACATTTCATGTAGATGTCTGAGTACCATTGCCCCAAATGTGACTTTAATGCATGCCATAGCCATTGCGTATCCGGCAGTCCTTGCAAACCAACCAGCAGCTGTCCAAACAAACATCCAATGCGATACGTAAATAAAAAAGACCCATGGCGATGTGACGAAGACAAAAAATTGTATACAGGAAAAAGGCTTCGATGTGATCGGTGTGATTATGATATATGTCCAAATTGTCTAATAGAGGCAGAGAGAGCAGACAGAGCGCTTGCCTATCTCATGGCTAGCTTACTCTTGCGAGATTAGAAAGTAGTTTGATTAGATTTAAAGTTGTTGCACTAAGCTTATTTATATATTTATCAATTTTTAAACTAGCAATAAATAGTGAAACGAGATTTGGTTGAGCACAAACAATATAATGTCAAATAAAACGAGAAATATAACAAGTAGAAAATATTTTAATTGACAGCGTTTCGTCTTAGCGACAGTGAATACATTATTCTCAAGACATTCCTGTCTCTGCAGATTTATTACGAGATAAACTTTCATGATTAGACGACAATTAATGAACGAGCCCTTGTTACCTGAATAAGAAAATTTTCGACATTTTCGACATTTCCGAGCAGACGATTGATAATAGTGCTATTATTATTATATGATTTGAATCTTAACTCAATTATAATTTGCCGGCTTCTAACCAATCGAGGAGTTTTTTTGAAATGCAAACTAGTAAATCACATGCCTCGATACAATACTAATGGTGATCCTGCAGGTAATTTTCAGGATTAAACTTTTAACCTTAATATGAAAGCAAAGGTTTCGCTTTGGATAAGCAATGTCTATATTATTCGGCCTCAAGAAGAAAACGAAACTCATTAAAATAAAAACTGGACAAAGAAATTGAAAACTCAAGATGGCAATATAGCACCAATACTGTATATTCATTAGCAACTCACAACAGAGATAAACATTTAATAACCAGCTACCATGTACTCTCTACTCTATATCTGATATTCAACCAGAGGGTTTGCCTCCGACTAATGGTGTTCTTATTGACTATGTGTCTCAGGTACAATAAATTATATTTAAACAATAATGACAGATTTCCTCACTCGTAGATAATAAAATCCGCCGTCCGTCGTTATTCTTGACATTTATTTTTAATAAACAATAACGACTTTCATTGGGGTGTATGGGTCAATAGAAACAGGCAATTGAGTCAACCTTTTATATGAATGGCAGCTTTATTAAGATCTGCTCTTCATATCGATTCTGATAGCGACGATTTCCATAGCCAATTGGTATAGTCAAATTCACATTGGTGTAAATTATATGAGCATGGATTCAGTGATGATTGATGACGAAAGAATCAAGCCAATCGGTATACCCAAATTCAAATCGTACTTAATATTCTGGGTCAATTCATTGCACACACGTTGGCAACAATTACGCTTAACAAACATATAAGCTTCATGAGCATTGGATTCTTGGTTATTGTCTCAGTACTGATTGACGACGAAATCGATTTCACGTCTTCGATATCATTATAATATACATATTATATACAGTATATACCATTACGTCCCAATTTCTCAATACACTATCATAATGTGAAGGTAATAATGAAAGAGGTTAGTCAGAAGCACATTTCTTCATGAAGCTTGTCCTCGCAAAGTACTGCTGTAACTGTTATATATTACTGACAGTTTGTAGCAGCAGCAAGTTGTATTTCAAAGGATATAAGGGAACTTTAGTGGCCTCTCAGATTTCGCATTGCACTTCGCTTTACCCACATACGTATATATATGTACTACTTACGAAATCTTCCTTCTCTTAAAAATGTTGTTCAGAAAAAGATCGCTTCAGAGTTTTATTTTCATTTAACCAACTCAACAGACTGAAAATTAATCTGGCAGAACGCTTCTTTGAGAAGCCATAAAAAAATGCTTATTACTCGACGTAGAAAATAAGTGCGCACCTTTCTTACAGTCACACAAGGCAAACAATTAAGTGTACGTAAAGCGGCGCCAAGACATTGCCTTACGAACACAAGTTATGAAACAATTTAAATTATAAACTGATGCAAGTTTTGAAGAGCTTTGGTTTGGGTGAGCTAAACACATATGAGTTGTGATCAAAGCTTTGTCTTTCCTCATGACAGAATAAGACTTCAGAACCATGGAACGTTCAGAATATGACAAAAAAAAAGACAAAGTGTGAAGTGATTTCCCAAAAACATATAATAAGTAGTGATATTGTTTCAACGAGAAACACCTATTATCGACGGATACTCATTTACTGCAAGCATAATCACACCCCAGAGTCGTTCTTCAAAAATCAACTAGCCATGCATGAATGGGGGTGTCTGTACGATGCTTAAGGACGTGCGAGGGGGGGCCCAAACGGAACATGCCAGATTATCAATAAATGTAAGTTTGAACGAACCACTTAAAAGGCGTGCGGGGCTAAAATTCGGAGCCATTAACTCCACCGAATACGCAAAGTCAAGTACGAACGAAACTCGAATACATTAACTACACTTAATGAATAAACACGCCCAAACAGAACATGTCAATCCATCCACATGCATGCATTATCGTTTATTCTTTGTGCATTAGCCGCATTTTATAATAGTAGATGGAGAAGGTTCTCGCAAATTTGCAAGCTAATCGAAGACATGCTTTATAATGCAAAATAATTTTAATACTTCCAGTTGAGAGAGACATGACTTTCTGAATACTTTTAATGCTAAATGGGGTTATTACGTGTATTAATAAGTGCACGACGTCTGTAGTGATATAATATTTGACGGGTACAAAGAGCTAGTGGCCTATTGATTATCATTGAATAAATAAAACGAATATCAGGTTGTAAGAAGGCCATTTTGTAGATTTTACAATAAAATTGTAAAAGCACTTACAACGAATTATATATATACCCCTCTTTACAGTCGCTGGTTTTAAAAAAATTAATAGTGTGAGGGACAATCGTATATTCACGCAAGCAAAATGTTATAGTAAGAACATCAGTTACAATAATAGTAGTCATTATTATAAATATAATAACTTACTCTATCACTATATACAGGGATACGGACTTTACGCTTTTCTTATCATATTGCTTGTTATCGATCTCACCACTATCAATCGTGACAGTCAGTCGCAATATGATGTAATATGTTACACTGCAAACTCCCACACTCCTTACTGCGTAGATAACGATATTAGTCAGTTTAATTAAATTATACGCGTGACTTATCGGACTTTTAACAGTGAAAAAAAATTTTACTCGTGTGCTCTGAAATGTCACATTGATACTATTGTTCCTCTGTACGTCAATCACGATATGATGTAACGATGTGTTACCCTAGGCAATATATCGATACCTGTGTATGCTTTATTATTGGTTGACAGTCGCAGATTCTCACACTCCTTACTGCATAAGATAAGACATTTATACTTATAAGGTTGCGTACGACAGCGATTGATAATATCAAGTAGTACCAATATGTCATCATCCGTCATCCAACGCGTCTACTCATACATATATATATACCCAGACTCTTCCATCCATTGCACATACAACTCCTACTCCTCCTCTTCCTCCAAAACGCAAATACAACAACGAATAATTTCTATGCTGATACTCTATATTACATATAACACTCTCCGATACTATACCGTTACTCTCCATCGCTCCTCCTCCAAAGCAGAAGAAAAAAAAAAGAGCTCATACTCAATAGAAATTTAAAAACTCTCGAAATATATAAATTGAAAGTCGATGATGCTACGCATGTAATAGGAAACATTTCAAGAGTTTCACGGACCCCGGATGGAACGACGACGCCTGCTTCGACAAGGACCGTGTCGCCCACTTCACCAACTTTCGCTACCAAGCACGACACTCCATCATTCGACACGTTATCTAGCCGTAAATCCGAGGTCGAAGATATTTTCTCACCATTTACTATACGTCAAATTCGCAACCGTCCTCCCCAGTCTCCACCAGTGCGCAACTTCAATTGAGAAGCAGCACAATGCTTGACATGTCAGTTGCCACTCCAAGACGGCAGAAGTCAATCTAGTCCTAGACCCCAGTCTGGATTGTAATATCAGGATGTCAACTTGAATAATCGTCGAATAACAATGAACGTTATGAATCCATATATCGAATAATTCTTCTGCGGCATCTAAAAATTTATAATAATCAGCAAACATTGTTTAATAATTTGCAACAGTGGGTTTGGCATCACAACAGGGAGGGGACGTCTTCAAATTTCAATCCGTCGTATCCAAAGACAATTTTCCCGCGCCTGTTAATTCAACGAATCCGTTTGC